TCATATTATAACAGAACATTTAGATTTCTTCATATTATATTTTAATAAATAAAAATATTACAATATTATAATTATTTTACTCATTAAAAATAATTCTAACTACATTATATATTATGAAAACATTGTAGTATATATGAATATCTACTTTCTAATAGATTGTATTACGTATGAATATTATAAAATATTTATGTTAAATGTTAATATTTAATTAATTTTGTGTGTGTACAAATATACACTGTGTATATATTAGTTTTTTTTGTTTGTTTTTTATAATATTTTACATTATATATATATATATATATATAACATTACATATTTCAATGCAAAATAAAAAAAAATTATACAAATATTACACAAATATTATTATCATATATATACATATATATGATAATAATATTTGTGTAATATTTGTATAGTATTTTTTTTTATTTTGCATTGAAGGACGTCATGTTTTCCTGAGATTCAGTGGTAGACTCACAATCTCAGTCGTTCGTTTAGTGATGAATGAACACATGGTTTTTTTCCGATTTTATTCTGAATAGAAACTTCGTTGTGGATTTGAATCTCATTTAAATTCTTCCGTCATAGATTTGAATGTGAAGTGCTGGACGCGTGTCGAGCAGGTGCTTCAGGAGCGGGTGTGTTTTGCTGAGAGAGCTCATCTCTGGGAGGATCAGCGGCCTGACGCTCTCAAATCTGTTTTCGCCGATGCTTTCCAGGCATTTATGCAAATGTGCAACAGCCGAACAGTGTGTCTGCTTTCTTTAGCATTTGTGCTTTTCCTTTTTCTCCATCTGCTCTCATTGCGTTCTTTATTAGCTCTGTTTGCGTCACTCTGACTGTTGCTTGTACTAAACCCTTACTGTAAGCATTAAACATCAGTGTGTAACTAATCCCACGCAGTTTGAGCTACAGACGAGCAGGATTGCTCAAGTCATGAGGCTGGTGGAGGAGATGTATTGTGCTATGTAAGTGATTAGGACAATTAAACAGCTGTAAAAATCCCACAGACTGACACTGAAAGAGCGGCTCGAGCCATACAGAGACCAGACTATCACAGAGACACAACACAACAGTGCTGGATGCTTTTTAGGCAAGATAGTAAGAAATCACAACCACACAGAACCGCACAGAAGGCGAGTAACAACATAGCAGTGACTTATAATAAATAAAATAAATATACTAAATTGTATTTGAAATACATTTATTTCATGCTACATATACTACAAATACATTTACATATTTATGTTCTAAATAAAATACCTTTCAATTGTACTTCTGGTGTACTAAACTGGTATACTTAAAGGTTGCTAAATTGGAACAACTCATTTTTTGCTTAATGCACTTTAATTGTGTGGAAGTAGTGCTGAAGTGCAGCTACAGATATACTGAAGTGTATTTGATTGTGCTAAAGTAGAACTATTGCAAGTGCACTTCAGATACACGTTAAATATCTTGCATTTAAAGACCAGTATTATTCAAAGATAGTACAATCCTCATCAATAGTAACATTAAAACACATTTTAGACTTAATATTAAGAAATGTGCATTGTGCACAAGAGGTGCTCCAAATAAATTAAATAAATTAATTATATAAATTAATTATAATGTATAAATCAGCAAGAATACGAAATAAATGCATTTGAAATATATTACTTTTTTTTTTTACTATGGTTTACAGCACAGTTTCTCACAGTTCCTCAGGAAAAAATCAGTAATTGTTTTCTCTGAAATCATCTCTCTCTCTCTCTTCATAACCTCAGCATCACCTCCAGCGGGAAGCAGCAGCGCAGCATCCGATCGTCATTATAGATAAGCTGCTGGCTGAGATCTGCTTCACTCACAGTGTAAAATTACAGTGAGTCACGTGAAGGTTAGTTACCGCTCTGATGCCTCGCTCTCTCGGGACGAGACGTGTCCCGCTAAACAGCGCTCGCTATCACACACACACATGTACACACATGCACACTTGCACACATGCACACACTCACACACACACACACACACACACACACACACACACACATGCGCGCACGCGCACACACACACACACATGCACACACATGCACACTCGCACACA